TGGGGATTGATCCCAGGACTTCATGTATGCTTATAAGCATGTGCTCTACCACTTCAGCTATAACCTCCCTCCCATTAACATTTTACTATTCTTGCTTTATCACGTATCCATTTGTCCCTTTTTCTATCCATTCCTCATCCCACTTTATTTTCTTGATGCATTTCAAAGTAAATGTCACACCTCAGTCCACGTTCTCCTAAAATCTCTCACCTTTCATAATAAATGACATTTTGATTGAAATTTAAATTTAACACATTTTAAAGAAAGAGCTCTGGTTGTGTCCTCACTCATTAGGCATCTTGGATTTCTTCTCTAAGTCCCTGACACAACAGATCTTCCAAGGGTCTATAAAATATAGAGCAATTAGGTACTGAGATTTGAGGGTAGGATCCTTGAAAGATTGGAGAAATTAATACTCTTCCCTATACTCTTTGGGGACCCTTAGACTGGCATATCTCTTAGTAAATGCTTTTCGGAATTCAGTGTAAATTGTCTGTACATCATGAAAATGTGAACCAGAGATCTCCAAGGAGATTTCAGGCTTTTGGAGACATAGAAGGTATATTGCTCAATGATCAGTTGTTGAGAATAGAATATACTCTACCTAAGCACCCAGGGAGTTATTACATGGTATTATGTAACTTACAGAACCACTGGGAGGGCTGAAGGAACACTATGTTGGGATTTCAGGAAGCATTTCCAAATCCATGCAATGGAGTTGGGCCAGGGAAGGGAAAGGCGCTGCCTCTGCCATAATCAGAAACTTCATCACAGAATCAGAAACATGTCATCATGGCTCTGGTTGCAGGACAATACTTCTTCCTTTGCCAGGAATCTGCCAAAGGAGGAAATAACCTGTAGAACCAGGGAGTCACAAATGCAGGTGTCTGTTCCAGAACCAGGCTGCCTTTGCCATGATCTATATAAGCAACAAGAAAGCTCCTCACCCTGCTTCTCTCCTGAAACGAATCAGTATCCAAACTAAGCTAACACATGAAATCTCACTATCAGGGAATCTAGGAAGTTTTTCATGAAATGCAGTTAGTTGACTGAGATAATTTTCTCCTTCTTGAGTACATGGCTACATTCTGTTTTCCAGTCTCCCCTGAAGTTATGCGTGGCTGTGTGCCAAAGCTCTTGCCTAGATAGTATGAGTACAAGTAATACATGCTTTAAGACAATGGTTCCACAGGTTCTATCATGTGGATGACAACAATGCCAGAGGAGGTAGAGCTCTGTCACTACCTCAGATTTCCAGATGACTTTGTGGAGCAAAAAGTCCATTTACCTGTTTTGGATGATTATATGAGTGAGGAAAGAAAGAAACTTGAATTTTCTTTAAGTCACCAGGTTATTGTTTGGTCTTTTGGATATAACAGCCCAGCCCTACTCTAAGGATGTGGTTTTTAACCTCTGTACCTAGAACACACACACACACACACACACACACAGAATCCATCTTACTTATTGTTGAATTGCCAGTGCCTGCCACAGGACCTAGTATGTCATAGATGCTCAACAAATATTTAGTTAATGAATAAATAAATGAAAACGTCTTCAAATTTGAGGAATCTTATGGGGACAGCTTATAATTCTCTTTGACATATTTTAGTGAAAAGTGTAGTTTGAAAACTTGGGAAAGATTTCAGCATATTGAGATAGGGTTGAGGGCATTCTTTTAGCAGAGAAGTATGCTTGAGTATGGCAGCGTGACAGGGTGAACAGAGCCTGTGAGCTTGCTGTTGTGTGTGGTGGGGAGGCTGAAGAGAAGGGGTTTGGATTGAGATTGGATTCAGATTGAGCAAGTTCTTGAATGCTATACTACAGCATTAGCAATTCTGTAAGCCAAGTAAACATCTAAAGTTTGTTTCATTTCTATTTTTAATTTTTGCTTTTGCATTGTACTGACATGCTTGGATCTGTCTTTTAGAGATTGAAGTGCTGGCAGCTTGGAGGCAAGAGAGCCTGGAACCAGAGAGGCCAGGTAAGGGACTATTTTAATTGCCCAAGAAAAAACAACGGATGTTTAAAATTGGGGAAGGTGAGGGATACATTTGAGATAAAATTAAAAGAACTGGGTGAATTATTTGATGATAAGTAGAGAGAATTTTTAGTTTCTACACGGAGTTGTTAGTGCTATTGATTTAAGACAGGAAATGCAAACAAGGAAATAAATTGTGTTTGGGAGGATGAAGTAATAAAATTTGTTTCTCAGATTATTGCATTACATTTTATGTAATGAAACTATTAAGTAGCTAAATGGAAATATAAATCTGAAAGTCAAGAGACAGATTAAGACACTGGTGATTTGGACTTGGAAGTCATGAGCAGTCTTTCTCAGGAGGTGATCTAAGAACATTTGCATCAGAGGAGTCTTGCTTTGGGATGCTTGTGAAAATGAAGATTCTTGGTTTTTATTACAAATATATTTAATCAGATTCCCTTGAGGATGCCTGCTTTTCTAAAACTTTTCTGGGGTTACTTTAAAGCATTAAAATTTTTGAGAACTACCAGTAAAGGTGATACCTGAAGCCTAATGGTAGATAAGATTATCCAGGAGAGAGTGTTGAGCAGGGAGAGATTATGGACAAATGGACAAGGATATGAACAAGAATGGTAATGGACTGTAGAAACCGCAGATTTTAAAAAACTGTTTAAAGAGCAGAAAAAAGAAGAGATTTTTGAGAGCAGAGAAGTAGCAATGGGAAGAGAAATGTTTTAGAGAGGTTGATGTGGTGCGGGCTCCTGAGAGAGCAACATCATATTCTGTAAACAGGTCGCCTAGAATGAGACAGAGAAAAGGATACTGGCTTCATCAATTTGTCAGCTATCACTGTCCCCTGAGGCAGCAGTTTCAGTAAACTGATGGGACTGAAATAATATGACTCCAGTAAAGTGTTGAAGGAACTGAGAATTCAGAGATAGACAATTTTAAGAATATTTTCCTTTTATAGAGGGAACAATATGTATTGTTGATAACTCAATGTAATTTCTATTTCGAATTCTCATTCTTCTAAGGAAGAGAAATGTAATATTAGTTGAGGATTTACCCCTGTACCTATTTATCCTAGAACGTGTAACTTCCCACTTTGTGCTCAGGTGGATCCAGGCAGCTCATTGCTGAGTTGTCTCTGGGCCCATCTTCAAGGCTCCTTCCAACCTGAAAGCTTGCTTTCTCTTCTGGGTCATATTCAAGTGGGGGTGCCTGTGGGGCAGGCGTAGCCTGGTGTGTATGGTTCCACTAGACATTTCACCTTGGAGTAAACCTTCTTCATGGGGTTTACTCTTGAGTATCACACACCTGCCCTGAAGTTCTGTTGTGCACCATGGCTGCAGTGTGACACTTCTCAGACACCAGTGCTGGGACGCCTGCTTCTTCCCCTGAAACCCTCTTCCTCCTCCCCAGATACCATTCCAAATGTGTTACACACACTATACACACACTATTCACTTGATCATCAAAGTAATACTGCAAGATTGTTACTCTTGTTAGTAACTTGTGTTTAGCAAGAGTCACAGCTTGATCCTAAACTAGTGTTGAGGAGTGTGTGTGTGAGTGCACCTGGAAAACTAGGAGGTGAGAGAGGCCCCTGTACCTGGAGAAGGGCCAGAGTGAGGAGAGGAGAGGAGCTCTTTTGAAGGAGAGAGAGTCAAAATGTAATTTGTGGAGCGTATACAGGAATGATTCCAAGGACAGCTTGGTGTCTGTTGGATGGTCCCTGGTTTAATTCCCATGCAGTCCTGCCACGTCTTAGAGGGAGGGACGTAACAACAGAGCTAGTGTAAATTAAAAGAGTCATTTCTCTAAACTCCCCCTGGGACATTGACATGCAGATTGTCAGTAGCATTGGGAATGCCGGTGCCTGTGGGAGAAGCGAAGTACAGATGGTAGCAGATTGGCTCCGGTGATGGCAGTGACATTGCAGATAGAGGCATCTTTTTTTTTTGTTAGCATCTTTTGTGTCTTTGGCTTTGACAATCAACAACCTTGCTACAGACATGGATACTCTTAAGCCTTGGGCAATGGCAACCTTACAGCCTCTGGAAGGCAACAGTGGGCAACATTGGCATAGATGGCACTTTCAGCAGCCTCTGAAGACACAGGTTCCCCTCCAGTGGGCTGGAGGAAGAAGTGAGAAACGTGATTGTGTGCCCTGTGACAGACAGAAGGACTAGGTCTTGGAGCACTGAGCAACCTGCAGGAGGATTTTGGAGGCATTTGATAGGGGATAAAGCTGCCATAAAGCAGATCAAGGTATAGCCATAGGGCTACTACGTTGTATCAGTTATTTTTAGTCTATTTTTTTGATTATCTGGGATATAGTGAACAAAATAGATGAAATTGATGGAAAAAACCAAGGTTCAGAGAATGAAGCAAACATGTGCAAAATTCTATACATGGCTAATGAGTTGTGGGATCATTTGTCCACTCGTGCTGCCATCTTCCTATTTGGGGCAAAGGAGGAGATACCAGGGGAGAAAAAAAGATTGTAATTATATTACCGTAATCGATGGCAGGGTCTTGGATAAATTAGGAGAGGATAAGATTAAGAGTATAGCTGGAGGAATTAATTAAAGGCATTTAGAAAATGGAATGTAAGAAACTCAAGCAGAAGTATTTCAGACAAAAGATTATAGACATATGGAATTAGATAAGAAAGCTAACTGAATCAGCATACAAAGTAATTAAAGAAAGACATCTGGAACAGGAGAGAAATAAGAGAAGCAAAGGAAATGATAGGTAAGTTTGAGATAAATTAGAGTTGTGTTGGTAAGGCCAGATGGTTTTTTGTTTTCTTCTTTGCTTGACATATAATTTTATGTCTTTCTTAACCACAGTCCCAAATATTGGAAATTTTAACATGTTATATTTGTTTCTGGCAATATCTAAGAACTATGTAAATATATCTGCAAAGCAAATGATTCAAAGATCAACACGCTCTATTATTCACAGCTGCCTTAGCCTGGGTCTATCTTCCCACAGAAATCTAGAACTTAGGATACTTGCCTGGCAGGGGAGACACCATGACCACAAAGGTGGTTTTCCCAGGGCGAGGCTTCTCCATGTCACTCTGGATGTGCTGACCCCTTGATTTCCCCAAATGTGGGAAGCTCAGCTGCATAATTTGTGGTAATGAGGACTGCTTTCACGCTCTCCCCTGAAATAAAAAAGTCTAAAACTTATGTTTGTGATTACATATTTTGGGCTACAAAAACAACAAAAATGGCTATTTAAGATGGTTTTCTATAGCAATAGGAAGCAATTTCTAGTAAGGTACCCCTAGAAATGTCTTTCTTCATGCTCTTGTCCTCATGTGTTGGTACCAGGTAAGGCAATTTTGATGATGAGAGATGGAGGTGCATTATCCCTTTGTTCCTTGTTGCACTGGAGGTTAATCACATCTGTATGAATGATGAGACTATCTCATTTTACATGGATTCTTCTTGTTTGTGTTTGAAGTGTAACTTCAGCTTGTGAATGTCTTGGGTCTTTACCCACACTCTGTGGTGGTGTAGATGGCTGCTAATGTGATGTGACTGAGGGGAGGTACTGAATAAAGGCCTACTCACCCCTAAACATTTTCCCCTCTGACTGGCTAGATTTAGAAATCACTCATTGCTATCATTTTCCAAAAGGACAAGAGATTCTATGAATGAATAGATTTTATGATAGAATATATCATTTTTGCCTTGTTCAAGAATATATTGTTTACTCACAGGGAATTTGGAACACCAAATCCTTGGACGGGAACTTGGTGCAGCTAGTTTCTCTCTGGCACAAAAGAGAGCAATGATGCAGAATCACTTTGGCCAGAGAAACAGCTTCACAACAAAGGGATCTGTGGTGTGGGGGTGTGGGCTTTGCCATTGCCAAGGTTCACTGATAAAGTCTGTGTGGAACCACTGGCTAGGACTCTGAGCAAGCTGTTGTCCTCGGATCAGTTTTTCAGGAAAAAAGATCTACCCAAAGCATCCTTTCATGTGGATGAATGCCAGGTTGTTTCCTCTTTAACCTCTGAAGGACTACATATCTTGTGAGATCTGAGAGGATTTCATATTCACACTATTATAGTGGCTGATTTATTCAGTTAGTATTTATGGAACAATTACTAAGTGCCAGACTCTATGCTAGGTAGTACTAGGAAACGTAAGAACAAATAAAGGGACATTCCAGTCTTTGAGCATCTCAGAGTTTAATGGGAAAAGAAGGACAATGCAAACCCCCTCAAATAATAAAACAAAGTAAAATAATGAACTAAAGTCTTACCAGCTGTAGCATAGACTATACATAGTACTGTGGGAGCACGGAATAAAGGATAACTAATTACTCCTGGCAGGAATCAGGAAGGATTCAAAGAATTTATTTTTGAGTTGAGTGAGTTTAATTTTTCAAAGGAGCAGAGAAGTAAAGAGTATTCTAGGAAAGGGAGAGAGAGCTCATTAAGAGAGTAGTACAGCTAGGGACTGAATGTTGGGGTCACCCCCAAATTCATATGTTGAAACCTAATCCCCAAGGTGATGGTGTCTGAAGGGAAAGCCTTTGGAAAGTATTTAGGTCATGAAGATGGAGCCTTCATGATGGGATTACTGCCCTTAGAAGAAAAGACACAAGGGAGTTTCCCCCCCCACCCCCGTCATGTGAAGACACAATAAGACGACCAGCTACAAACCAGGAAGTACCCTCACCACACCAGACCTACAAGTGCCTTGATCTTAGACTTTGTAGCCTCCATACCCATGCACTATAAAGGTCTGTTGGGGTATCTTGTTATAGCGACTCAAGCTAAGTACTCACTAATTCATCAGAACAGATGCTGTAAATCATGGTGGTTACTTATCACTGAGCAAGGACTGAGAGATGGTCACACTCAACAGATACATTTCACTGGGCTAGAACAAGAAGAATTTTCCAGGGAGAATAGTCCAGCCTTAATGGAGGTCCCAAACATGATGAAGGCACTGGGAAAGGTGATGGGTGAGCAGCTGGCATGGAAGAAAGGATGCCAATGGAAAGGAGAAGGACAATAAAAATAAATTTTGTCTTCTTAATAATTTTTCTTAGAATCAGTCCTAATAAATTTCACCCCACCAGAGCCCATGTATCCAAATCAAGATGACATTAAAAATATGGGAAAATCAAAATCAATACCCATGGCTCTAATAAAGAGCTGAAGTCAGCATGTACCTTAGAGGGTGTCAAGATGTAACTCCAGGACTTTTAAATTCTGTAAAGTGATGAGTTTTGAAAGCATGCTGTGCCTACTCCAGAATGTCAAGTAGCTGTTGTGAAAGCCAGAGCATACTCCTATCACTCCAGGTTTGCCTAGTTTATGGAGCCAAATATATATATTTTGCTTGCTTGAGCTTTTTGGATGTATCTGCCTTATAGATGTAAAAGGTCACAACGAGGTCACTGAGATTCTGTTTTAGGAAAGCAGCCACTGACTCTGGACAGTCTCTCAGAGAAAGTCTGAACAGTAACACATTGTTAGGATATGATGAGGCATCATAAAAATATGTCCCCAAATCTCTATATTTCAGAAGTGTATTTAGGTGCCAAAAGCAATATTGTATTTCTCAGAATCAACAGAATTGCTGGAAGCTTATCTAAGATAATAGATAGGTGCAAACAGTTTTAATTAAAAATTTTTTAACATGAGAAATTGGCTAGGTATATGGAAAGTGAATGAAAGCATAAAATAATTAGTAGTTTGACTAGAGGTAAAGAGACTCTTCTGGTAGACAGCAAGCCTTCTTGTTTGGAGAGATAGACAATGTGTCTGTATCACAGAATGTCTTGCTTTCTGTAAAGAATAGAATTTCTACATACCTTGGTATAAAGGGAACCTGTGACCAAGTAATCATGGAATCAATCTCAGTTTCTGATAAAGGGATATCTTACTTTATGGAGGACTCTTGAGGAGGAAAGGTCTTTCCCTGGGTCCTAGAAGATATACCACAAAGACCAGGCCCCATTCTCAAACCTTGCAATAATCCCATTCTGCTAGAGAGGACACTGAGGTTCTGAGAGCTGGAGTAACTTGGCAGAAGTGGATTTAATCAACCTTTGTCTGCTTTTAATGCTTTGATTTCTTACCCTGTCTTGTGACTTCCTGGTGATGACTCACTCTTCTGTTTAGAACTCGACCTTGCCAGATGTTTTCCATACAGAATCTTGATGATCACCCAGGCCTGATTATGGGGAGCTGGGAAAGAGAACTTGAGAAGTGACAACCAAACTTCTCCCATGTGATTGAGAACTGTAGGAGGTTCTTGAGGCACATGTCAATGTGCAAAGTGTTTCAAATGCCTTACATATATTAGCTCAATTAATCTTTGCGCAGTCCTTTGTATTAGGTGCTATTAGTATCATTCCTATTTCAAAGATTATTTTCCCATGGTCACACAACTTGTAATTGGTGGAGGTGACATTTGAAACCAGGTAGTATGATTCTAAAGCACGTGCTTTCACCATCATGCAATACATACAAACATATAGGAAATGTGCTTCTATTTCTTTTTCCTGTAGCTGCCTAACCAGGTCTTAATAGTCCGGAAATTGTTTTTCTATTTTATGGATGGTAGTAGCATCACCTCATTTTTGCCATACTTTTTAAAATTAATCTCATGAAAATTTCATCAGCGCATATATTATTTACACCTATGTTGGGGAAATTTAAGACCATTCATTTAGCAAATAGTTAATGAGTGCCTACTCCATCCAAGGCATTGTTCCAGGAAACGACAAAAAAATACAAAGATATGAAATCAGAGTCTCTGTCCTTCAGTTGGTTATTGTCTAAGTGAAGATTAGATAAAGATAGAACAAGAGAAAGGCTAAGAAAATGATATACACAAAGTCTAGGGTGGCTCAACTGAGTGACCACATCTTACTGCCCAGGTGAACAACAGGGCTCCTAGGAGGCTCAGTGTATCAGAAGGGTTTACATAGCAGGATGGAGCGTACGCTCTGTACCTTATCCACACTGCCGAGCTCTCGGTTTCCCTTTCCTGAATATCTCCATGAGGTTCTCTTTTTAAGTACGTTAGTAACTCTGCGTGTTCTAAGTGTCTCTTTTTCTTATTTATCACTTATTTGAGTTGCAGTTTTACATGGGTCTATGATATTTGATTAATATCTGTCTTCTCCATTGGTTTGCAAACTCCTTGAGGGCAGGGGCTGTCCTGGTTTTGCTCCTGGTTGAATCTTCACTGTCTAGCAAAGTGCCTGGCACATAGTAGGTACTGAATAAACCCTGGGTGAGCCAATGGAGCCAGGGATTTCCATAGGAAGAGAAACCATATGAACAAAGGTACAAAGGCAATCTAATAAAGGGTTCATTAAAGGAAGATCCAGTTTTCAGGGAGCTGTAGCTGAGAAATATATTGAGATCATACTAAGGAGGGCCTGGAATGCCAGAGTGAAATGGCTATATCAAGTTTGGAAAGCTCCTGGGGAAAGACCACCAGAGCAGCAATATGAACATAGCTGAAGGTGTATCGGGGGTGGTGCAGAGAACAGCTTAACAAGGAACATCAGTATGGCTCCTAGAGGGGTCTCTATGTAAAGGCATGGTCTTTCATCCCACTATGTCTGTATTATACAGGATTCTCCAGAGAAACAGAACAAGTAAGATGGATACACACACACGCACACACACACACAGGTATATATATATATGTGTATATATGTATATATTATGTGTATAAAATATGTATTACTTATAATACATACCCATAGATAGATAGATTGATAATATATTATGATAAATTGGCTAATATGTTTATATGGGCTGAGAAGTTCCACAGTCTACTGTCTGGAAGCTGGAGACCCAAGATAGCTGGTGGTACAGTTCAGTCCAAGTTTGAAGGTCTGAGAACCAGGAGGGTCAGTGCTGCAAATCCCAGTGTGAGAGCTGGAGAAGAGGAGATGAGAGGTCCCAACTCAAGCAGGCATGCAGGAAGCACCTTCCTCCACCTTTTATTCTGTTCTGGCCCTCAATGCATTGAGTGGATGATACCTACCCACACTGGGGAGGGCAGTCTGCTTTACTGAGCCCCCTGATACAAGTGCTAAACTCACCCAGAAACACCCTTGTAGACACATCCAGAAATAGTTTAATATAGGCACTCTGTGGCAAGTCAAGTGCATAAATTAAC